AAGTTTTTTTTTTTTTTTTTTCTCTCTTTTCTTAGAGTGTGTGTGAGGTGGTGATGCGGTTAGTTGTACACAAGGAGAGAGACTCAAGAACGTGACCTGAAATTCATTCAGCTCTTCATCACTAAGGGCACCATCCATGTCACGATCACAAAGAGTAAATATCCTTCTCAAAGCATTTTTGCATCGGGGTTTCAAACTTTGCCTTTCTAAATCAAATAATGGTGCTGTTGGATGAAGCACTGCCCTTTGAGCATAGTAAAATACTTCCGGCACCTGTGGACAAGTAGTTTGGAGTTTCAAGATTCAAATTCTCCAAGAACAAACCTGGAATGCATAATAGGCTTTTAATTGACGGAGAAGTTTAAGCACTATGAGATATTTTAAATCGTACGAAAACAGATAAGAACAACACTAAAAAAGCAAATGGAAGTGATAGGGAGTGTGGTAGATAAGTTCCTTCGCTCTTCTTTCATTTCAACGCTTCTGCATTTTTCACTATTTGAACTATATTTCACAAAATTGGACATATGATATGCCTTATATCAAATATCGCGACAATAATTGAAATGAAATGGCAGAAGACATTCCATCGACTTCACTACAAATAGCAATAGCATTAAGGTGCAACTTACTGTTATGGAGAAATTAATGACGGTTAAATGTAACCACAAGAAAAACAACAAATGACCGTGCATGTTACTCAAGTTTTTTTTAAAAAAAACAAGATATGAACTTTTCATCCCTAGTTATGAAAAGAAATAAAAATGTCCTTGGGATACAATCATACAAACCCCTAAAAACAAACTGATGCTCACTTCTCAATTACAAACTGTATAAATCAAGTAAGCAAAAGAAGAAAGCTCCAAGCAGAATAAATAAATATGCAAGAAGAATGAATGCCTTCTCAAGTACCTGAAGTAACGTAGCTGCAGAGCATTCTATGCAAGTTTCAATCTCCCTAAACTGTTTCATAATTGGTGCCACGATATCCTCCATGCTCGTTGGCCGGTGTTCGTCTCGCAAATCTAGCTTGCAACCAACCAGAATAACCGGTGCCTTGACGCCCAACTGATGCAACTCATTGAGCCAGTATGTGGTCAAACGAGTAAGTGTCATTGGTTGATCACATGCATACGTCAATAACACTGCATCCGCACGCTTCAATTCTTCGTAGAGCTTAAATTTGTTATCCATGCTAATTAAAGATAGATCATGAGAAATTAATTAAAAAATGAAATCGCAGCAAGAAAAGGAGTAACTATGTGAAGTCGAACAATGATGATAAATATATAAATAAAAAGGAAACATTACGCATGGGATAAAATCACTACCGTGAAATCAAATTTTGAGGAAAGAAAAATGGATGTCATTATCACCAATACAAAACTAAAAAAAAAATACGAACCTATATCAAATATGACAATCGAATCAATCAGAAGTCACAGTTACATTGATATTTTTTCATTTTTAGCCGTGAAAAGGAACTGATCGAAAAAAAAAAAAGCGAAGCCTTATCAAATATGACATGCGAATCACTAAGAAATCATAAATACTCGAGCATTCTTTAATTGAACCGTTGAATGAAAATTTTGAGTAAAGAGAGAGATGGACATTATATTAAATACAGACACTACCTGAAACTGAAAAGCACAAACGAATCCAGATCAAATATGACATTCTAATCACTCAGAAATCACAAAAACAGAAAAAAAATTCAGTTGAACCATCGAATAAAACTTTTGAAGAGATGAAAAAAAAATGAGAGTTGCATTACATTAGAACTCCCTAAAACTGAAAGACACAAACGAATCCATAACAAATATGACATTCGGATCGATCAGAAACCACAAACACACAAAATTCTTCAATTGAACCGTCGAATGACAATTTTGACGAAATAAGAAAGGAGAGTTGCATTAAAAACTAGCACTCCCTAAACTGAAAAACAATGACAAATCCGTATCAAATATGACACTCGAAGCACTCAGAAACCAAAAAGACACAAACATTCTTCCATTGAACCGTCGAATGGACATTTTTTAGGATATAAACAATGGAAGTTGCATCAAACACTATAACTTCCTAAAACTGAAAAACACAAACGAATCCGTATCAAAAAATGTCATCCGAACCACTCAATTGTCGCAGAACACACGAATAAGATCAGCGCTATACCTGGAAGAGGAGTCTATAATAGTGAGCGGGACGCCGTCGGGGTAGAAATCGGCAGGAAGATGAGTAGGAGGAAGAACGGAAGGAACGTTGTCAGGGAATGATTCGGAGGCGGCAGCAGCAATCAAGCTGGATTTTCCGGTGCCTCGATCGCCAGCAACCACGATCCGAATGCTGGTACGGGTGCCGGTCTTAGCTGCCATTGGAACAGCGAAAAGGAGAGAGAGAGAGAGAGAGAGAAATTAGTCCGTCGGAAGCATAAAAGATTGGAGAAGTCGCAGGGTGGAAAATATTGGGCCGACTGCATCTAAGGCAAAAAATGCGGTGTGTTGTGCGTAGCCAATAATATTGCTAATTTTAAATTCATACAAAATCCCTCCAAACTAATTAATATTTAAATAAATACAAAGTCAAATTAAAATTTTATTATTTTACTCTTGTTCATTTAAATAAATATATTTGTTTACTCAATAATTTTTATTATGGTGACAATTTAGCTTTATAAAACTTTCATTTTTGCTTTTTTTTTTTGGTAAAAAAGTTTTAATTTCATCCATATGCATAATTATTTAAATTTAAATGTCGATGACAAATAATGTTCGAAAACAATAATTTAATAAAATTATTTAGTGCTTAAATTAAAACGATAAAATAAGAATAGATGACAACGGAAAACGAACCAATGGAATGTTTGCAGCTATTGCCTTTGCTGCAAATCAAAGCTCCTCTTTTGTCAACATACGCTGAGATCCCACATTGGTTATAGAAGAGAACATTAATTTTATAAGCGTGTGGAAACCTATTTCTAACATACGTGTTTTAAAATCGTGAGGCTGACGGCGATATGTAACTGGACAAAGTGGATAACAACAATGGGATTGGACTGTTACAAATAGTATTAGAGCCAAACACCAATCGGTATGTCAGAGAAGACGCTGAGCCCTCAAGGGGGGTGGGGCGAATTGTGAAATTCGACATTAGTTTGAGTATGAAGCGTTTCTTGTAAAGGTGTGGAAACTTCTCTCTAGTAGATGAGATTGACAACGATATATAACGAGTTAAAGTGGATCATATCTACTAGCGGTGGTCTTGGGCTGTTACACAGACATCTACCTCGTGTATCAAAGCCACTTTACTTCAAACTTTTACTCACGAGCTCCCCGAATCAAGAGAGGACAAATTATCATTTTTATTGTTCGTACCCAAATATGTATTTTTTGCCTTTGATGGGATGAAATTGAAAGAAGTTATAAGAAAATTTGTTTCTTTTTGCCATTTTGTTTTCAACATATATATATATATATATATATTTCCAGTATAGTCCCTCGCCGTCGCCCTCATTTCAAAACTTGGTATCTGATAGCCACGATGCTCCGTTCTCCAAGGCTATATCTAGCGACGGCCGCCCGCCGATTTTCCGGCGAAGCCTGCGCGGTGGCGGTCGAGAACACTACACTAGAAGCCGCCTCCGGCAGCTCTGGCACAGGCGGTGGTGGTCGAGACACGCTAGGGCGAAGGCTTATGAGCCTCGCTTTCCCCAAACGTAGCGCCGTGATTGCCATTCGGAAATGGCAAGAAGAAGGCCACACTGTTCGCAAGTACGATCTCAATCGCATCGTTCGGGAGCTTCGCAAGCTCAAGCGCTACAAGCACGCACTCGAGGTATTCGATTCCCTTTTTCCTTCTTTTGTAGAACGTATGTAGCATATTTTTTCTACGAGATCATGCATTCATAGGCCTGAATGAACTTGTCTTCTACTTGTGCTATGAACTTTTACTCATAGACGAATTAGAGTCAATTCAACTGATACCTGAGTTGCTCGTCATATCTAGCTTCAGCTTCCAAGAGAGTATCTGATGATATTAATTTTGAGGCCGAGAAATTAGGTTAAACTTATTAATATATCATCTTACACCTGGAGGGATTGGAAATTAGCTAAAGATTCTGTAATATGAAGTTGAAGAAATGGTTGCAAAAATGATATTACTGCGATTGGCAGGGCTCACTGCTCTAATTCTAGATTAAATCAAGATTATCCAAAAACTCAGGTCGATAGATTATGGTGAATTTAGAGGTGCTGAATTATAATTCCCTGACCTGGCCTCTTACTTTTTGTTCATAATCTCTAATGAATCAGGAAGATAGTCTCAAGTATCTATCTGGAACTTTTCCACTGTGCAGATATGTGAATGGATGACTTTACAGAAAGATATGAAGCTACTACCTGGTGATTATGCAGTTCATCTGGATTTGATTTCAAAAATCCGTGGCCTGAGTAGTGCAGAAAAGTTTTTTATGGATCTCCCTGATAAAATGAGAGGTCAATCTGCATATACTTCTCTTCTTCATGTGTTTGTACAAAATAATCTATCTGAAAAAGCTGAGGCTCTAATGGCGAAAATGTCTGAATTTGGTTTCTTGAAAAGTCCTCTTTCTTTCAACCACATGCTATCTCTTCACATCACGAACAAGCGACTAGAGAAGGTTCCTGCTCTGGTTCAAGAATTAAAGAAGAACACCAAACCAGATGTGGTAACATACAATCTTTTGTTGAATGTTTGCACTTTGCAAAATGATGTTGAAGCTGCAGAAAACATTTTCCTTGAGATGAAGAACGCAAAGATCGAACCGGATTGGGTATCTTTCAGCACATTAGCTAACTTGTATTCCAAACAACAACTTACTGAAAAAGCAGCATCTACTTTGAAGAAGATGGAGAAAATGGCATCTAAACGAAACAGAATTTCGTTTTCATCGCTTCTTAGCTTATATACCAATTTGGGGGATAAGGATGGAGTTTGCAGGATATGGAAAAAGATGAACTCATCCTTTCGCAAGATGAATGATAGCGAGTATATGTGCATGATATCATCTCTTGTGAAACTTGACAAGCTCGAGGAAGCTGAGAAACTCTACACCGAATGGGAGTCGGTTTCTGGGACGGGTGATACTCGTGTTCCAAATATATTGCTAGCAGCGTATATCAACAAAAACCAAACGAAACAAGCTGAGAGTTTCTATGATCGGATGACGCTTAAAGGAATCATACCATCTTACACTACTTGGGAGCTCCTCACATGGGGTTATCTGAAAGAGAATCAGATGGAGAAAGTGCTGCAGTTCTTCAAGAATGCTGTTGGCAGTGTGAAGAAATGGAACGTGGATGAGAGGCTGGTTAAAGGAGTGTGTAAGCGACTCGAAGAGCAGGGTAACTTCGAAGGGGCGGAGCAGCTGTTGATTATTCTTAGGAATGCTGGTCATGTGGATACTGAGATATACAATTCTCTGTTGAGGACCTATGCAAAAGCTGGTAAAATGCCACTCATAGTTGCTGAAAGAATGGAACAGGACAATGTTCAGTTGAATGAAGAGTCTCGTGAGCTTCTAAAGTTGACCAGCAAGATGTGTGTGAGTGAAGTTTCAAGCACTTTTTACCACGAAGCCCAAAAAACCAACAAAACCGATGGAACAAACTCGACTCAATCGGTTTGAAATACACTCTTCAGTTGGTTCGACAATAGCTTACCAGTTTTGCTTTCATAGAATTCGTTGTTCAGTGTTTCAATCCCTCCAATCTTTATAATTTAAGTTTAGTCTAAGTTGGGTCGAGTTTACTTTCAATTTGGTCCCTATTATTTGAGCTTAGTTTCAATTGGGTCGAGTTTAGTTTCAATTTGGTCCCTATAATTTGAGCTTAGTTTCAATTTGGTCCCTTTAATTTTAAAGCATTGGAACATTTCTTTGGTTTATGCTAGTTTTCATTAGAGACGAGAGTATAACTTAGATGTTAAGTTAATATGCAATGAATCTGACGTTTAGATGTTCAAATTCATAGCTCTGTATGTTGAATTAAAAGTACGTACTTAGTTTTCATTTGATTTCCTATAATTTAATTAAATCTTATAAATGTTTCTAAATTACGAAATACCCATTTTGAAAATTTGTGTATTTTCTTTTATATTTTACTAACTATAAATCCAAATAGAATAATATTAAATTAGAAGGTTCAAAATTGCATAGATTAATTTTTTTTTTTTTTTAAACCACACGATTTAATTTTGTAGATATTATTTCCACCGAAAATTGGAATAAAAAGAAAATAAAAATAAAAGTAGCCAGGCGTGAAGGGGCAATTACGGAAACTAAAAGAATAATAAGGGTATAATTGAAATATCAATAATCAAACAGGTTAAAAACGAGAAATTTCCGAATATAAATACAGGCCGCTTATCACTCTTCGAAAACCCTAGAGTTTGAGAAAGGCGGAAGCCCTAGTTCAGCAATCGGAGCTTTTGCCGGCCTTTGCTCACTGAATTCGACAGCCATGGCTACTGCTAGGACCGTCAAGGATGTCTCTCCTCACGAGTTCGTCAAGGCCTATGCCGCTCATCTGAAGCGGTCTGGAAAGGTATCCATTTTGTTTCTCTATTTGGCATTTTGTTGATTTCGTGGCCTTTAAAACTTGATTTTCGATTTAAAAGAGTATTCTGGGATATCGATTTCGTGAACTAAGTGAATGCTGAATTTGAAGTTCAAATATTTCCGGCTCTCTCGTGGAGTGTGCTCGATTCTGCATTGTTTCTTCTTTCTTTCTTTGCTTATCTTAGCCTCCATTGTACTATTCCTCTTTGTTTTTATCAATTATACAAGCGGTTTGCAGGTTTTAGGATGTACACGCTTCGATATCGCTTCTGATTTTTTATTTTTTTAACCTTAATAGGCTGTTAGATTATCTGCTCGTGCATTGAATATGCCTCTTCTGTGAATAATTTGTGGGTTGTGACTGTTTCTTGGATCCTATGCAATGTAGACATGTTCTCACTTTAGGATTCCTAATGTTCGACTGTGCTTACTAGTCTATATGATTTTTCGGCCATAAGTTAGAATTTGATACTATCCACGAATGCGTCCTATGGAAAAGAACATTTTATGGAAGTCTTTTTTCGAACTCCCTGGTTTGGATTATCCGTTTTAGTTCCCCATGTTACGATACTTCACTGGTTAATCGAATGTGGTCTATGTGGTCTATGTGGCTTACAATTCTTATACAATGCATAATTACGAGCAGGTTGAACTTCCACCATGGACCGACATTGTTAAGACTGCAAGATTCAAAGAGCTTGCTCCTTATGACCCCGACTGGTATTACGTGAGAGCTGGTTAGTTCCCTCTTTTCCTGTTTTTGATTTCCATGTGTTCGTATGAAATAAACAAAACCAACATAAAGCAATTGCTTTCATTTTGTGTTATTCTCT